TTTTCCCTGTTGTTTTTTTTTTTTTTTTTTTAATTTGCTTATAAGCATATGTGATTGCCAGGGAGAGAGAGAAAGTGAGAAAGCACCCACCAGAAGGGCTTGGTCATCCTTCAATCCCTTCTCCATCCTTTTTTGGGGGGGTTTGGGGCACACATGCACCTGGCCTATTTTTCAAGCCACTGGGACCAGGACTCAAACCTGTTGGCTATGTAGGATCCAGCCACATCAACCACCATGCCACCTGGCTGGCCCCCAGCCCTATTCTTAATAGGGCTAAAACCTGTCATGGTACACACCAACATGAAGAGGAGTCTGTGTCTGCTCTGGTTGCTATAGGAACAGGGCTCTGATCTGCTTAAAGGAGATTTCCCTGCATTCCTACCATTCTAAGAATTAAATTCTTGGTGCATTTTACATCAATATAGATACAGTGCAGTTCTCAGAATTTTTGGCTCGCCTTCAATTAGCTTTTACTTCTTTGCTCAACAATATAAACCCTGCACACCCAAACAGATTCCCCCCAAATACTCCAGGAGGATTGAGGGCCTAGGAGTCCAGGGAGATAAGTGACTAGGCAAATACCATTTTATTCTTGGTGAACCTAGTAATTCCATATTTTAATTCTAGCTTTCACTTATTCACTATTGAAAAAATGGGTATGAGTACTTTTACATCATTAATATATATGCATCTTTTTTTTTTTTGAGAGGTTTTTGTTATAGGGCACGTGGGCTCGCCAGACAGACAGACAGAGACAGAGAGACAGAAAGCGAGAAATCACCCTCAAGGGGGGATGGCCATGCCACAATCCCTTCTCCTCCATTCTCCTCTTGGGATCTTAGGCACGCAAGCACACGTGCCCAATGTGAGTTTAAGCCAATGGGTCTGAGACTCAAACCACGGTCGACTACATGGGAGTCCAGCGACATAACCATTACACTAACTACTGGTCCCTGTATGCATCCATTTTAATAAAACTTCAAAAAAACTTCAAAAACAGTTTCTTTACTGATTATAACTTAGGTGACAATAGTTATTACAAAATTACTGTATATATGTTTGTCTTAGATATTTCCTTCCCGTAGAAGGATGCCTTTTATTCTCCAAGTTCCTGGTTCTTCTATTGACAGTCAGCTGATTGGGTCTGTTAGTGGAGTGTGAATGCGATTGTCCTTTCTTTCCCTCCTGCTATAACCTTGTCTCTCATTCTGTGTCTCCTCCCAGTACAGTTTGGTCCGTAGTGAAGAGTATCCTTAGAAAGGATGGTCCTTTGGGCTTCTACCACGGACTCTCCAGCACTTTACTTCGAGAAGTACCTGGCTATTTCTTCTTCTTCGGTGGCTATGAACTGAGCCGATCATTTTTTGCATCAGGGAGATCAAAAGATGAACTAGGTAAATGTGTATGCATTGACAGCATTTGAGTATGATGGTGTCTGTGTGCCTTCTTGGGGAGAGTGGTCCACCTGACCCTGGGAAGTTTCTGGATACCAGAAAGTGACATAGTGGCAGATGATTGCTAGCATCCTTTCTCTAGGCTTGGTAATTACCTCCGGACAGGGGCTGAAGCAGTATATCCCAACTCCTTTACTGGAATAACATTTGTTCATTGTTCTGGATTCATTTGAGGGGGAGGAGAAATAGAGATTTTCCCCACTGAGAAATCACCTATAAATAATCTTGCAATAAATTAAAAAAACTTGATAGTAGATCTTGACTGTGTTTTGAGATCAGTGAATAGCAGAGTTCTTTCTAGCTTACCCTGTTAGCTTCCTGACACAGTTGCTTGCCAATATTTGGTTCACAGAGTGAGTTAGCTTTTCTTTTTTTCTTTTTTTTTTTGAGAGATTTTTGCTATAGGGCACGTGCGCTCGCCAGACAGACAGAGAGAGACATAGAGACAGAAAGCGAGAAATCACCCCCCAGGGGGGATGGTCACGCCGCAATCCCTTCTCCTCCATTCTCCTCTCGGGATCTTGGGCACGCACGCACACGCGCCCGGCGTGAGTTTTAAGCCACCGGGTCCAGGATGCGAACCACGATCGACTACATGGGAGTCCAGCGACATAGCCATTACGCTAACTGCTGGTTCCGAGTTAGCTTTTCTTAAACATCTCCTTCCAGTGCATTGATCTATTCTGATGTTAGTCATGCTCCCAGGTGTCACTGCTATGCTTAATTAGGCGATTTTTTTTTTCACAGTAATGGAAGAATCAGGGCTCTTGAGTGTTAAACTATCAAAATACTTAAGAGTGACAAAGTTGAAAAATGTGAACTGTGTTTCAGTGGCCTCAATTCTCATACCCCCTGGTCAGGTGTTGACATTTAGCAGGGCCTGCTGGTTCCATAGGGGCCAGCCCTCTGGAGGATGGGACAAGGGACCACAGCACCTTAGTGACCATCTAAATACAACCATTGCTAAGGCTTCTTGTCCTGCTGAGACCCACGGTAGAACCCAACTACCAAACAGAATTATACGTTCTTAGAGCTTGGTAGCAAGAGTTCTGCCTTTTTCCTCAAAGAATTGTGTCCCATAGTGCTAGCATTTTTATTTTCATCTACCTGAAGCCCTTACTTCATTGGCCTCTGGAAATGTCACATTTGCTGTTTCTGATACAAAATGCCATTTGCTGTTTTTCTTATCTAGGCCCTGTGCCTTTGATGTTAAGTGGTGGAGTTGGTGGAATTTGCCTCTGGCTTGCAGTGTACCCAGTGGATTGTATCAAATCCAGAATTCAAGTTCTTTCTATGTCTGGAAAACAAGCAGGATTTATTGGAACCTTTATAAGTGTTGTGAAAAATGAAGGTGAGTTTGCTAATTGCGCAGAGCAGGTATGCATAGAGTGATTAGTCACTTCACCGCCAGTCTTGTCGAGGTCTACTCAGGGGGATTGCTCTCCTCTCCCTTCCTCATAGCCTTTCTCTAACACTGTGTAACACTTACTAGCCATATTTTGGATTTCTGTTTTTAAACCCCTTCTTTAGCTTACTTTCATTATTATCAAGAATGTTTAAGGTTCTTACTCCTCCTAATTCCTGGGCCAGGTACTATCGGGATTCTTTGTTCTAAATATTGAGTCATCAGAAAAGTCATGACACATTTTTACATAGAAAAAAAAACAAAATACATCATGACTTTTCTGATGACCCAGTAGCCTGAAGGGAATTTTATTTTTAATTTTTAAAGTCTATTATATTCATATATAGAGAATGTATGTATACACATGAGAGAGAGAAAGAAGCCCACTCAACAGGGTCCTGCCATGCTGCAATCCCTTTTCCTAATCTCCCTTTCCCCAGTCCTCATATTATTAAACATATGGACTTTGTCTAAGGGGACGAATGCTCTGAAGTCAGTACCAGCTGGTTTTTTTTTTTCTTTAATGAAGAGATTTTTGCTATAGTGCGCACGCACTAACCAGAGAAACAGAGACAGACAGAGATACAGAAAGTGAAAAAACACCCTCTCCCTTGGGGGATAGCCACATCACAATCCCTTTTCCTCCATTCTCGGGATTTTGGGCATGTATGCACACATGCCAGGTGTGATTTTTAAGACTCTGGGTCTGGGGCTCGAACCACATTTGGCCATGTGGGAATCCAGTGACATAACCATCATGCCACCTGCTGGCCCCAGCACCAGCTGTTTTACTAGTACACAGTATAGATATTATCAGAAGATGAACTCTTAACAGTACTACCGAGGGATTTAAAAGAATGTATAGCATCTTTAGTGCTAAGACTTCTGGAATTAGAAATGGAGTGAGCAATTTCTTTTTTTCTTTTTTTTGGAGAGGTTTTTGCTATAGGACACGTGCACTCGCCAGACAGACAGAGAGAGACAGAGAGACAGAAAGCGAGAAATCACCCCCCAGGGGGGATGGCCACACTGCAGTCCCTTCTCCTCCATTCTCCTCTCAGGATCTTGGGCACGCACGCACACGCGCCCGGCATGAGTTTAAGCCACCAGGTCCGGGACGTGAACCGCGGTCAACTATGTGGGAGTCCAGCGACATAGCCATTATGCCAACTGCTGGTCCCAGCAATTTCTGAAGGTTATTTGCTGTCAATTTTTAGTTATGAAGGAGGATAAGTAATATTTGTGTAAAGCCAACTTATGCAACAAATAAAATACCTGTTTTTCTAGCATTCACTATACATATTAAAACTTGGGATATAATTATCCTGGGTGGACTGAGAATTGAATACTATAATTGAATTTATAATTCATTTTTAAAAAATGGATGAAGAACCTGAAAGAACTAAGCAACAGGAAGGAGTCTATGAAAGAACGTTGGAAATTCTTAAGAAGATGAATCTGCATCACTTAAAGCTACAATCGAGGAAGCCATCTACATCTGAGACTTGAACTGCCACTTTCAAGGCCTAGGGCAATTGAAGGTTTTCTGCTCCAACTTCACCTTCCAGAACCCAATATCTAGACAGGACAGACCAATCTCAGGCTAAGTAACCATCTACATCTGAGCTGTCCCTTTCAAGGATTAGGGCATCTGAAGGTTTTCTGCTCCAACTTTACCCTCCAGACCCTAATATCTAGACAGGTAGGGCCACCTCTGTATTCTCTCTGTCTCTCTCTCTTTTTTTTTTTTTTAATTTTTAAAAGTAAGTATTTTTTTCTTCCCTTTTTGATCTTTCCTTTATCTTGCTAGTTCGTCTCACTTTTCCCTCCCTCCCACATAGGACAGACCAATCTCAGGCTCTCTCAGAATCTATCTACATCTGACCTGTGAGCTGCGCCTTTTACACTCCGCACAAGTGCACCATGCAGTTTTCATTTTTTGCATTTAAAAAAAAAATTATCCCTTGTTCTCTTTTCATTTTTCTTTCACCTGTTTCAATTTGCTGCTTAGCCCCACACCGAATGTCTAGACAGGTAGGTGCACAGTAGCCAAACGTCTGAATCCTTTTAGCATCAGAGAAATCCTCAATTTCCACTGAACCTGCAGCACTAAGGAGCAAACTCCTCTTCATAAATCTGAACTCAAACCTCTTTCTGTGGATGCCACATTGCAAGACATCGTAGTGGAGAGAAATTGGCACAGATGTACCTCGAAGTAAACAGAAACACATACGCTTACAGTTGCAGAAACCTTCTCTAACAAATTAGCTAAAAGTGAATACACCACCAAATGGCTAAAATGCAGAGAAGAGAGACGGCTTAGGGACCAACCGGGAGGACGGAGCTTCAGAAAGAGCACGGTTCATCTTCTCATGCATGTCTCTGAACTCTCAGTTGAAACCCCACAACTCAGTCCGGGCGCACCTGTTCTCTAGAAACCAGGAGGCTTTTGTAATAATCCAGTTCTAACAACAGAAATGCAGGTTGCTCAGTGAGCGTTAAAAATACGAAACTACAGGGACCGGCAGTTAGCATAATGGCTATGTCGCTGGACTCCCACGTAGTCAACCGCGGTTTGAGTCCCGCACCCGGTGGCTTAAAACTCACGCTGGGCACATGTGCGTGCGTGCCCAAGATCCCAAGAGGAGAATGGAGGAGACGGGATTGCGGCGTGGCCATCCCCCCTGGGGGGTGATTTCTTGCTTTCTGTCTCTCTGTCTCTGTCTGGCGAGCATACGTGCCCTATGGCAAAAGAAAAAAAAAAACTCTCAAAAAAAAAAAATGAAACTACAGAGAGATTGCAGATCACTGCCTCCTGCACATCTCTGAAGGCTCAGATTTAATGCCAAGAAATTAGGAAGAAATGTGTAATCTATCAGATGACCAGAAACCACTGCAGAGGCATAAGAAATATGAAAAACCAAGAAAATATTTCTCCTCCAAGAAAAAGGAATAACACCTTATCATCCACAGATGGTATAATGGAACTTGTGGAAATGTCAGATAATGAATTCAGAATATTCATAGTGACAAAACTAACAGAGATGCAAGAGAAGAGAAACAACGAACTCCAGGAGATAGAAAAGAGACGAGTTCCAGGATGTAAGGAAGTTCTTGCATGATTTGAAAGAGGAAATACATACCATAAAAAAGGATCAGATGAAACAGAGATGAAGGCTGTCATATAGGAAATCAAAACATCCCTTGAAAGTATTAGAAACAGATTAGATCATGCAGAAGGTAAAACCTCTGACCTAGAAAAATTCACCAAAAAGACTGAGAAAATTACCCCCACAATGAGAATAATATATAAGACATACTAGATACCATTAAACGCTCAAACATCTGGGTAATTGGTATCTCAAAAGGTGGAGAAACTAATAAGGGCATTGATAATCTATTCCATGAAATACTGGAAGAAAACTTTCCAAACCTAGATATTCAAGTATCCAGACTCAAGAAATACAAAGGAGGACCAGCAGTTAGCGTAATGGCTATGTCGCTGGACTCCCGTGTAGTCAACTGCGTTTCCAGTCCTAGACCCGGTGGCTTAAACTCACGCCGGGCACATGTGCATGCATGCCCAAGATACCGAGAGGAGAATGGAGGAGAACAGATTGTGGCGTGGCCATCCCTTCTGGAGGGTGATTTCTCACTTTCTGTCTCTCTGTCTCTCTCTGTTTTTCTGGTGAGTGCATGTACCCTATAGCAAAACCTCTAAAAAAAGGAGAAAGAAAGACAGACAGACAGACAGACAGACAGACAAAGGACCCTAAATAGAATCAACCCAAGAAGATCTTCTCCAAGGCACATCAAAGTCAGATTGACCAAAACCATATACAATGACAAGAGACTAAAACTGGCAAAAAAAGAAACATCAAGTTACTTACTAAGGATATCCCATCAGGCTAACATCAGACCTCTCACTGGAAACAATGCAAGCAAAGGAAAGAATGGGAAAATATATTCAAAGTGTTAAGTGAAAAACAATTTCAACCAAGAATACTATTTCTGGCAAGATTATCCTTCATATGGGAAGAAAAGACAAACATTCTCAGATAAATAAAATGAAAGAATTTACCAACACCAGACCAGCTCTCCAAAAACTTCTGAAGGGAGTCCTATACCAAGAAAACTAAAGACAGACACACAGAAATACACACAGAAATGAAAGTATATAAAAACAACCAAGAAAATGGCCAGCTTAATGATAGGGTTGAGTCTGGAAAGATCAGTAGTATCATGTTAACTTCCAGAATTTAAGTGAAACGATTGGACCACAAAAGAGAGATTAATTACATGAGGTTGAACCAATGAAATAGAATTTTATGACTTTTGACTAAAATATTACTGATTTTCTTCTGTGCTCTGTCTTCCAGATATAAAGATTTTTGTTTTCTTCTGAGCTATTGATAGGCTCAGCAATGTGTTAATTGTTTTTTTTTTTTGTATTTTTAGTATCTACCTACTGTTTGAACAGAATCTTACTTTTTCCTGACTTTAAGTCTTAAGCAAGTTTTTCTTAACATTTTTTATTTTGATTTATTAAAGCTAAAACTGCTGTTCTTGAAACTACAAGTATATAAAAAGAATAATAAAATACCTATTTAATGACCATAGTAAGCTATATAGCTAAAAGGTGCTACTTTATAGTATGTTCATTCTACTCACTGAATTTTATGCCTAAAGTCAGACATATGTTCATAAATATGTCTGTATCAGCTGCCCTTTCTATTGAAAGTATTTAGATTAATTAAGATCTTTTGTGAATCAGTAAAATGTGGGGGGAAAAGGCATGGAAAGTAACTGTTGATATCAGAGACAGTGCAGGAGGAGGGTGGGAAATGGCAGAAGGTGAAAGGGAGGGAATCAAGAGAACAAAAATAAAATAAGATAAAGTAAAGAAGCAGCAAAATATAAAATGGAAAATTATTTGTTGCTATTGTCAATAACATGTATGGTAATATCCTTGACTGAGCCAACATATAGTGTATTCTGGATGGGAAAACTCATTTTTGAATGCTGTAATTATGTACAGTGAATGAATGTAAAATAAATTAATTTAAAAAAATAAACATTTAAGGGGACCAGCAGGTGGCGTGGTGGTTAAGGTGCTGGACGCTCCCACATGGCCAACCACGGTTCGAATACCGGACCTGGTGGCTTGCTTTCACACTTTCCCTCTCTCTCTCTCTGTGTGTATCTCTCTGATCAAATTAAAATAAATGAATGAATAAGTAAAAATTAAATAAATAATTATTTAAAAGTAAATAAATAGACATCTAAAAAAAAAGCTACAATTGAAGAAATTCTCTTCAAGGCAAAGAGAATAAGTATTTGAACATCATGGACAAGTTTGAGGTGGAATGATGAAGCATTTTTATGGGGTAGCAGATGGGTTGAGGACAATGGAAGACCAAGACTTAAAGCCAAACAGACTGACATGTCCTTTAAAGTTTTTGGAATACTTGGTGGAAGGATATTTTGATCAAAATTCTATTAGTCAGATTGGAATAATTGTAACTAAGAGTAAAAGAGCTGAACAACTGACTGAACGCTCAGGAAATCCACGAAAACACATAACATCTTTGAAGAAAGCTGTAGATATGACCTACTGTGGAAAACTCTTTCTTTATCATTCTTTAAGTGTGGCACTGCAAACTCTAAAACACATGCCCAGACATACAAAGTCCCAATTATCCTTAGCAGCCTTACAACTTGTGATCCAGCTAGTATTTATGATCTAATCAAGACCCAAAGGCAGCTAAAATTGGAGTGTCTGTTATTGGATTGTCTGCAGAGGTTCGGGTTTGCACTGTACTTGCTTGTGAAACTGGTGGTGCATACCATGTTATTTTAGATGAAAGTCATTACAAAGAGTTGCTGACACATCATGTTAGTCCTCCTCTTGCCAGCTCAAGTTCTGAATGCTCGCTTTTTCATATGGGATTTCCTCAGTACATCATTGCTTCTTTGACCATGATGCAAGACCCTCTTTCAGCATGGCACATTTGGATAGCAATACTGAATCAGGACTTGCAGTAGGAGACTATTTCTGCCCACACTGTCAGGCAAAGTACTGTGAGCTTCCTGTTGAATGTAAAATCTGTGGTCTCACTTTGGTTTCTGCTCCCCATTTGGCATGGTCTTACCATCATTTATTTCCTTGGATGCTTTTCATGAAATTCTCCTAGAAGAATATAATGGAGAAAGATTTTGTTATGGATGTGAGGGGGAATTGAAAGACCAACATGTGTATATTTGTTCTATGTGCCAAAATGTTTTCTGTGTGGACTGCAGTGTTTTTGTCTGTGGTTCTCTCCACTGTTGTCCTGGCTGTATTCTTAAGATCCCAGCCCCTTCAGGTATTTGATTCCAGTATGTAGCTCACATTATATGTTGTAAAAAGAAATTTACAATTTTAAGTAACATGGTACAACTATAATAAAGCAAGAAGCTCCAGTTAAAACATGAAGGATGATTCGATTATTATTTTTTTTTTTGTGAGAGAGATTTTTGCTATAGGGCATGTGCACTCGCTGGAGAGACAGAAAGCCAGAGAGACAGAAAGCAAGAAATCACCCCACAGAAGGGATGTCCACACCACAATCCCTTCTCCTCCATTCTCCTTTTAGGATTTTGGACACACACACACACACACACACACACACACACACGAGTTTTAGGCTGCCAGGTCTGGGATTCGTACCATGCTTGATTACATGGGAGTCCAGTGACATAACCATTATGCCATTTGCTGGTCCCTGAAGAAAAATTTGAAAAGAAAATCTGATGTAAGAAAAATTTTGCTAAGAAAATCTATTGTTTTGCTAAATGATCTATTTGTGTCCTGTCATAGAAATGGCTGGAATTTGATGGTACTTTATTCAATTAATTTTATTTTCTATTATTTAGAGTCCTAATGTTCTCAAAATTATTATTCATTATTACATGTAAATTACATGTAATGATTAAATTGATGTGATCTTTTTTATTTTCTTAATATACATTTCAGAATCTTAAAAAAAATACCTTAGGATATAAACTTCTGCTTTGATTTTAAAGATGGGACAGTAACATGGAATCTAACTTACTCTTATCTCAAATAGAGTACAGACACCTAGTCTGTTACAAATAGTAACCGCCTCTTAAATCTACAATACACTTTATAGCTTTACCACATTTTTACACTTCCCTTATCTATTCTTTCAGTTTTCATAACCATCCAGCATAGTGCTAATACCAGAATAAGGTCTTTGACATCACGGTCGGTGCTCTTGCCACTGCCCAGGGCTGCTGCTGCCCCTGGCTCTGTGACTGCTTCTGTCTGGCTATGTCAGGCCCCATCCATATAACAGATGTTAACCAGGCATGGATTTGGTGTATGTCACCTGAGAATCAGCTAGCTTTGCCAGGAGCACCAACACTTGTCCTGTCTCTGTTGATCTATTTACAGAAAACTGGAATTAAGGCCTTCACTTTGTTGGTTTTTGAGGCACTGGTCTGGATTTCTTTGTTTTGTGCAGCGGCATGGGGTGCCTCCAAGGAGGGATTGTTACAGTCTTTGCCCTTTTGTTATTCCAGGAATAACAGCCTTATATTCTGGACTGAAACCTACAATGATTCGAGCATTCCCTGCCAATGGGGCACTATTTCTGGCCTACGAATACAGCAGGAAGCTGATGATGAGCCAGTTGGAAGCATGCTGACGTGTCCTAGCAGGCCTGGATCCAAGCACAGGTGTCTGAGGAGCACAGCTTAACTCAGGGTTTCACAGAATACAAGACCAATATGGAATTATTTTTATTTCTTGAGAATTTGCCTTTGTCTTCTCTTCTTCTACCCTAAATCATAAACTTTATGGAAGGACCTCTATTTTACATTATATAATTTCTGCCCATAATTAAACAGACAAGTTGCTTCCTTGCCCTTGGTAGACTATACAGGGTGGCTGGTGGCCCTGTGCTCCTAGTTTGGAAGACTTTTGCATGACCCTGTATGTGTACATACAGTTTGGATCGTTTTATGTTGAGGGAAACAATTTAGTTCTATCCTCATGTTTAATTTCAAATAATTGCCAAAAAAACCCTCAGAGGTGACCATTTTTCATAAAGATGGTTATAAATGACTGCTTAGCCCATTCTAGATGCAGGGTCTCTTAAAGTTTGCTCACGTGTACTTTTCTAAATGGTTACACGTTTTTAAAGAGTTTTCATGTTGTACTTAGAAACTGAAATGCACATCTAAATTGTAGGGAACAATGAACCTGCATACAGGTATGGCTTCCACATTCTTGAGCTTAAGTATCAGAGTAGGCATCCTGGATTTTTCCAAGATCCTCTACTCTAAAAATAGTGCCATTCATTTTCTAGATGGATCGTCTTCCATACTCTGAGCACATTGCCAGTGCAGGCCCAGAAGATAATTGGTGGTCATCCCTAGCCATGTGGTCAGCAGTGCGGCCTTCACCAACTTCCCTTCTTTTCTCTCAAAGAGCTGCCTTCCACTGCTGGCCTTTAGGATGAGGAAGGGGCTGAGGGCTGTGCTGCTGTGTCTTGAGGAAGACCTATGTAGGTGACCTCAGCTCTTAACTTCTGTCTCTGGAGCCTGGCCTGGGAAGGACTTCAGAGTGTCTATTGGTCCATCTGGGGCTGTCAGTCCACTTTGGACCACTCACTGTCCTCTCTGCCTTCACCAATCAGAAGTCCTTTCATGGAACTGAGAGTGCCAAAGCCTAGAGAAGCCTTTGTTCCCTGTTTGGAGATTGAGTGACAGTAATCTTGGGTAAAGTCCTCTCCTCCCAGACAGAACTAGGGAGAACTTAGTGCTGTACTTCACAGGAAGTAATGTCAGGGCTGATGCACTCTGAGGTTTACCTTGGGATCCCTCAAGATTTGCCATGAGTTTACAGTAGCAGAGCATTCTATATTTGGTACTGGCAGTCAATGTATTTTAGTGATGACTATATATGGGGTGTGACTTCATAAATCAATGAACATAAGAAAGCAGTTTTATTAAACTATGTCACATGTACTGGGTCACTGGAAAAGTCATGACACATTTTTGCATAGAAAAACATAGAAAAAATATGTCATGACTTTTCCGATGACCCAATATATACCAACCAAAAACCTCAAATCCCACAGTTCACCTGATCCCCACAGAGGTGTGGATGGCCGGCTGTTCTTTGGCCTATGGTATAAGAGTGTTGTTCTCATCACTAGGTTGGGCCTCCTCATACTGTGTAGCTTCAAAGAATACAAAGTGTTCTTAAGCAGCCTCAAAGCTGACGGGAAGCAGCCTACCAGTTTTAATGAACCTATACCATGTGTGTCTGTTCCTGTCAAAAGAATGTAAATATGCAAAACCTCCAGTTTCCTTAAGCTTTTTGCTATATAATGAAGCCCCTGTGGCAACTCTAGTCTTAGGGCCAGAAGGAAGCAAGAGGATCACAAGGAAGAAATGAGGAAGATGCAACTAATATAAACTTTTAAGGAGGGATGCCTGTTACGTTCCAGAGCTATGGCTGGGCTTTTATTTCCTTTTTCTTTAAGAGAAAACCATTTTTCTACTTCTCTGAGCATACTTAAATGGTCAGCAGCTACTAAGTGGTGCTTCATCTGAACAGAATAGAAAATGGAACTGGCTTCTCGCAGGAACTTAACTGCTTCATGTCCGTAGTCCTCCTGACCAGCACCCAAAAGCAAGTCAAAGGAGATCTACTTTTTTGTCAGTAGATCTTGCTGCTTGTCCATGAACAATTTAGAAATTTTAAATAGAAATAGTGTGAGGGGTTCAGCTGCAGTGGCACAGGTGGTAGGGGACTGCCACATGATGCTGAAGTTCCCTGGGACGGTCCAGAGTCCAGAACAGGACATGCCCATGATCCTGGCTGTCTGGAGGACCTGGGAGAGAGGACCATGGCATGGCAAGACCCTGTCAGGAGTTCTTATGTCTGTCTGTCTCTCTCAATAAATAAGTAAATAAACTTAAAAAATTCTATATTTGTGTGACACAGATATGGTTTATTATCTGTTGATGAGGATGTGTATAGTATTCTCAACTGGACTGAGATGTATATCATGCTGGGTAAAGTCTCCTTACAATCTAAATGATATATAGCTATTCAATGTATAAATAATAATAATAAAATTTTTAAAAGTCTGGTAAGAGGTAGTAGGAAATGGAAACCTGTCAGGAGAATATTTTTGTCATTCTGTTTACTTAATTAGTGGTTCAGTATTTGAGTACAGTTTGTACCATCTCAGATCTGTACTCCAGACAAAAACTGAAATACTGTGTTTAAAGAAATGTGAGTGTTCTATCATCATTAAATTATTTACCTAATACTTGAGTCTATGATGAGTTTAAGTGCTTTACAACCGTGCTATGAACCAACTGTCAAGAATGTTCAAGAGTGTGTATAGTAGTATTTCGAGGTGTTAGTTCTATTGCAACAAATACTGTTTTTTCCTCAGCAAGATTCCTGATGTAAATTCATTGCACTGTAGGTAACTTGACAAAAACACATGTTATTTGTATATACTGCAGTCATGCAACTTGGCCCATTAGAATTATTCTGTCCTGGATCAGCAGGTAATGTAGAGGTTAAGGTGCTGTATCCCACGTGACTGAGTGTGTGGTTCAATTCCCTGACCCAGCAGCTTGAAAATCACACCTGCATGTGCATATGTGCCCAAAATCCCTAGAGGAAACTGGAAGAGAAGGGTTGGCGGTGTAGCACCCCTCACCCCCCTTGGAGAGAGTGGAGGGGATGGTGATTTCTCATTCTCCCTCTTCCACTCTGTCTTTCTCTGGTAAGTGCATGTGCCCTGTAGCAAAAACTTAAACAAGAAAAAATTTTGTCCCTTCACCTCTCTATATTTTAAAATAGTTAAACATGCTTTTTCTTTCGCGGCCATCACCAGAGTGGCAGTGGCCAAAATGAAGTTCATTCCTTTTGTGACTTCTGACCGAAGCAAGAACTGTAAAAGGCATTTCAATGCACTTTCCCACATCCAAAAGAAGATTATGTCTTCCCCCCTTTCCAAAGAGCTGAGGCAGAAGTACAACATGCAATCTATGCCCATCCGAAAGGACGATGAAATTCAGGTTGTGCAAGGACACTATAAAGGTCAGCAAATTGGCAAAGTGGTCCAAGTTTACAGGAAGAAATATGTCATCTATATTGAGCGGGTGCAGTGGGAAAAGGCTAATGGCACAACGGTCCATGTGGGGATTCACCCCAGCCTGGTGGTTATCACTAGACTAAAGCTGGACAAAGACCACAAAAAGATCCTTGAACAGAAAGCCAAGTCTCACCAAGTAGGAAAGGAAAAGGGCAAATATAAAGAAGAAACAATTGAGAAGATACAGGAGTTAAATAATCTTATATACTGTTCTTTTTAAAAACTGCCAAAAGGAAAAAAAAAAATAAACACCTTGCTAATAAGTTTTGGATAATTCTAAGGAGGTAAAGGCTATTCACGAAAACTAGTATTGAGCTAGCTGATGGTATGGTAGTTAAGGTGGCTGGATCCCACATGGCCAGCCATGGGGTTCAAGTCCTGGATCTGGCGACTTGAAAAACACACCAAGTGTGTGTGCATGTGTTCCAAAAATTCTGAAAGGAGAAATGGAGGAGGGATTGTGGCTTGACCACTCCCTATGGGGGAGGCTTTCTTCTTGCTCTCTTTCTCCAGAGAGAGTACATGCCCTCTAGCCAAAAAAGAAAAAAAAGAAAAAGCAACAATAAAAATCCCCCCCAAAACAACTTGAAAACGAATCATTCTGATATGTTTACATTTCTTGAATTGTTCAAATAATTGCTTTGGGCTCTCAGAAAGCCATAATACCACCTAAACAAGTTCTCTTAAATGAAAAAAAAAAAAAAAATTAGCGTTTCAGCTCATAATTGCCAGAAATTTGGTGAGTCTTGGAGAGTTGGGGAAGAGAAATCTCAACCATATCCTCTTTATTTAAAAAAAGATTCTTAAAAATTGGTATTTTCTTCCTTCCTATTGCATGTATTGACAAAGACAGATCTTCCTCATCTTTGAACTGAACCAGTCATTCTTCCCTCCTCCAGGTAAACCTCTGGAGGATGACTGCAGGAGTTTTAAAGAGCCTGTTCTGTCACAACACCTGTTTGCAACATGAGTTACAGGGAATACTTAGTGATTATGGAACGACCTTGGAAGCCTGTTCCGCCATCTTTTACTCTAAGGAGAGCCAAATTCGGGGGAGCGAAGGAAGAGGCCTGTAGCTGGGCTGCTGCACTGGCAGTTGGTAATATTGAGAAGATAAACGTCTGCAGCCAGGCCACCTGCCAGCTTTGCAGGCCTCTCGGCTCATGGTCACTGCATATTTGCCAGACTTCCATGCCCACTGTGGCTATGAGCCCTGCTCCCATCTGTGCCACTTCAGCACCCACAGCCCTTGTTTGAAGTATTTTTCTATAAAACAAACAAACACCAATAAAAAGCAAGCAAGCACACTGTGGCAACCTTAAGACTGAACTGCTGGCCTGGGCAGTCCAAGTGGTTAGTGTGTTGGTTACAAAGTGGCTTGGTTTGAGTGGTCTGCCCCCAAACCACTGATCCTTTTTGTATTTTCATGAACTTTTTGCTTGTTTGTTTTGGTTTTTAGCATGTGCTTTCTGCAGAATGCAAGGTTTTTCAGGAATGAATATACTGTGTTTAGCAGAGACTGTTTTATTAGTTGCTATCTTTCATTTCCTGATGGATTCAACTTGATCTAGATTGTTGAGAGCTTTGCCAGTAAAAGGAAAATCATTCAAATAAGGATAATTTCAGGGTCAGCTCCATAACTGATTCAGAGGACCAATCCCAAATGGCTGACCACAACTCAACTCCTGTCCCCAGCAGTTTAAAACATGCCAGGCATGTGTGTGTGTGTGTGCGTGACTAAAATCCTGACAGGAAGTAGAAATGGAGGAAAAAGGATTTTGGTGTGAACATACCCCATTAAGGAATGCTGTCTATCTCTCACTCAAGTGCACATGCTCTCTGGCAGTTAAAAAATAATAATAGAATTTCAGTAGAGCCAAATTAAAACTGTCTCTATTATTATATTTGAAGTTTATTTCTTCCATAAATGAGAGACTCAGCACCCCAAATAAAGTCTTGACATGATCCACCCTCTTCCCTCCAAGTCCTGGATCATGGACGTGTACATGCACAGCGTATTCAGGGAGGTCTCTGAATGCCAGCATGGAACCTTCCCATATGGGTCAGCCTCACAGAATGTCATGCTTTATTGCTGCATCACCATCCAGCCCCCAAGTAGAATTATTTTCAATGACAGTGATTGTCTTAAAATACAGTGGCAGTGGGGCCAGTAGATGGCTTAGTGGTTAAAGACACTGACTCCCACATGGCCTGCCATGGTTTGAGTCCTGGACCTGGCAGCTTGCTTTCTCACTTTCTCTCTTTCTAGCTCTCTCTTTCTTTCTCTGGTGAGTGCACGTACCCTATAGCAAATTTTAAAAAATAATGAAATTAAAATAATTATTTAAAAATATATATAGTGCCAGTGAAGTTGGAATAAAGTAGCAACCAAGTACCCAAAAAATAATTCTCTGTAAATACAAGACTAGCCAGTGTTTATAATGAAAAGATGGTCTTCCTTCACAAAGTTCTCCAAGCTTAGGTGAGATTGGTTGTGAGCAGGGATGAAGGATTTTAAAATAATAAATCTAGATTAAGAGCAAATTTTTTCTTTAATTTTACTTAGGATGTTACACACAAAAAAGAAGTGGCTGAAGAGTCTACCAGTCATGTTTACCAAGATCCTCTTACCTTCCCTATGTATGTGTGTGTGTGTGTATTTATTGAAGGATATTTGTCATGAAAGCTACCTGTATAGTGCTGGGAACAAGAGAAAAGTGTGTATGGGGGTGTGTAGGACTGCTTAGTGAAACAGTTCTCTCCTCTGGGTTTACAACTTAATGTTTGCTACCAATCTGATGTTTGTTGACTGTTTGTGGTTCAAGTAGAGAAAATAGAAAAAATAGAAACCAATTTTGTAATAAATAAAAGTCATAAATGTGAAACAAAGTAGGGAATAAATACTCATCCAAAAAATATCTAAGTAGGTATGGGAGGAATCACAGTTTTTAAGTACTTCAGTTATTTTGATATGAAAGGTTTAAAGTTCTTCAAAATGATACCTAATGTTCCTGTGTACTGTGTTTCAAATTTATCCAAATAGAAGGTGGAAACTGAAGTATATTCCTTTAAAAAAGAAGTCACCATTGATATTTTACCTGTACATATTTAATAGATTTCTCAAGAACATACATACATATTAAAATTATGGGAATACCAACAAGGGAATAGAACTTAGGACTGTTTAGCAGAGAGTGGAAATAACATGATTCTATTCTATGAAGTTAACTATACTTACAATGTAACTCTTGGTCATGCCTCATCAAAAACTACCTCTACTGCAAAGTCAGGACGATAAATTTTCCATGTTTTTGATTTATGGGGATTATCCAATTCACTTCTTTGTAGATAAAGCCTAAGAATAGGGAAAAAAATGCATTGTATTTTAGGGCTAACAGAAAGGCCATGCAGTAGAGTGCACTTGCTAGAGCTTCAAAAAAGACTTGCTCACCATGATTGGTGTGTCAACCATGTTTTTTGTGTCTTAGTTGGGTTTTTCCACTGGTGAGATGGAAAATACCTTTCATTTTCAATAAGCTTTCTCTTGCTGTTTACATTTTCAACATGTTATTGATCTTTTAACATTGTCTTTTATGGAATTAATGACATCCAGATTTAATAAAACATTTAAATTTCTATGTGTAACAGAAATCAGCCAGAGAGTAGATATATATTAAAACCTAGTAATAAGGGACTAGCAGGTGGTGTAGTAGTTAAGGTGCTGGACACTCCCACATGGCCGACCACAGTTCAAGTCCTGGACCTGGTGGCTTGCTTTCTCACTTTCCCTCTCTTTCTCTCTCTGTGTCTAACTCTGGTCAAATTTAAATAAATAAATAGATAGATAAATAAATAAATATATATTTTTTAAAAAACCTAGTAATAAAATACTGAATCTCTTATAAGTGACAAAGTTGGAATTTCTTGGTTAACAATCTTATAACTAATGAAAATAGCTTTATCAAGTAGTATGTAAATTTAAATGTCACGGAGATCTCTAGAACCTTATATAAAACTGAAAATGATCTAACTTGTTTTTCTATTATGAACATGATGTTATAAAGGAAATAAACTTATCCCTTGGGCAAGAACCACATTTGAGGAGCAACAAAATATGAAGCTCACCCAGACCTCTCTCAGGGGCTTTGCTCATGTTATGAGTCAAATTTTTTTGTTTGTATTCATCCAGGGGAAAAAAATGGTAAAAATTGTGCCTGAAATCCAAAATTCACTTTATGAAAATCTATGAAATAAGTGTGTATTACAGTGTGTAGGCCAGATGTTCATCTGTTGCTTTACTAGATTTGAGATGTTACTAGATCCAGCCAGATATGAAGAATAGACTAGGATCCGAAGTAATCATAACTATCAGTTCATGCCACCGACAGTCACAAACACTGCAATTCTTACCTGAATAATTTTAAAATATTATTTTTCCTTTTGTACAGGATGATATGGTGGCACCAAAAATCTCAATAATTCACCACCACAGAGATAATTCTCCTTAAAGTGAAAAACTTCTAGACTTGGATGAATTTTCAGATTTGGTTAGAGGTTCTTTAATACAATCTTCAAGCCAAACCAATAGTTAATTTTTTAAAGTCTTTCCAATTCAGTTATTAGGAAATACATGTTTAGGGACCAGCAGATGGCATAATGTTTATGTTGTTGGACTCCCACATAGTTGACCACAGTTTGAGTCCCATACCAGACAGCTTAAAACTCACACAGGGTGTGTGTGCATTCATGCCCAAAATCTTGAAAGGAGATGGGAGGAGAAGGGATTGTGGCATGGGCATGCTCCTTGAAGGGGTGATTTCTCAATTTCTCTTTCTCTGTCTTTCCAGTGAGCACATGCACCCTAAAGCAAAAAGCTCTTAAAAGAAAGAAAATACATGTTTAAATGGGAAACTATTAATGAGTTTTTTTTCATTGAAATTTTTTATTACACTGCTAATATTATATTTAGTCAAATTTCAGAATGTTGACGATTCATAAATAAAGAACATTCTGATAGTCTGTAGACGAGGTAAAGGGGTTAACTCTTCAGGTTCCAATTTAGTTGTTTGAAAGGCAACTGTTTTACATTCCCAGAGCTTAAAAGGGGCTTCCCCAAGTAGAGCAGATATCAAATACAAAGAAATGATAAAACATTTGAACTGTTGTTTTCTTAGCATTCCTTTCTTTTCTGTGATTTATCACTAGTCAAAGTATGTCACACTGACAGACAATAGTGAAGGAAACATCTTAGAGAAAGTTCCATCATCTTTGACTAGAATTTTATACTGTTCATTTTTTCTTTTTTTAATGTTTTGAACACTTTATGGAGTTAGAGTAATTTTTATTTATTTATTTAGGTTTTGCCATTCCATGCACATTCACAGAGAGAAAGGGAGAGGGAAAAATGAGAAATCACCCCTCCATCCTCAGGGAAGATGGCCACACTGCAAACCCTTCTCCTCTTGGGACTTGGGGCATGTGCACATACACACACCTGGGTCCAGCATTCAAACCACAGCTGACCATATGGGAGTCCAGCATCTTAACCACCACACTACCTGCTGACCGCTGGACTATTTATTTTTTAAATTTGGGATTTTGCAATAGGGCACATGAGCTTGCCAGAGAGGAGAGAGACAATGATAGTGGGAAAGAACATGAGAAATCATTCCATAGGGGGATGGCCATGCCACAATTCCTTCTCCTCCATTTTCCTCCTGGGATGTTGAGCATGCATGCACATATGCCCAGGGTGATCTTTGAGTTTCCAGAACCAGGACTTGAATCACAGTCAGCCATGTGGTAGTCCAGCACCTTAAACACTACGTCACCTTCTGGCCCCTGAAATACATTTTTTTAAGCTGTCTTCATTAATACTTGTGTCTTCTAACTTCTGCCTTAGATCTAAGTGTGTCGATCAGCTTTTAAACTACCTGATGGCTCCCTACATCACAACCTTACTAATCTAGCACAGAGTTCAGTGTTGGCCAGTCATCAGTAAATCAATACTTAGCTGAGGACCTGTCATATTCAAGGCACAGAGAAGACTCCATTTAAAAATCTATGGGATGTATGCTGATTATAATCATTTTTAACTTAAAATATCTTATGGCATGGACCTTGAAGATTATCCAACAGTGAGTCTTAAGAACAGCTGTATTTTTTAAATAACCAGATTAAGATGAGTACCAGAATGAAGAATGGTGATTTGATTTTTCTTTCTTTTTTTGTTTCTATAAATTAAGTTTTTGATAATTAGCAAAAGACTTGCCATTATACCTTATAAACACATTGAAGATTGTGTTTCTATTGGATTATATTATATTCATACCTGTTATCTTGTATAAAAGATGTATGAAACCAGAAGAAAAATGAGCAGTTGTCATAGTTTTTAGGAATATACTAAAAAGACATGATTTAAAAAAAAAGTTATTTTCACAGTAAAATTGATATGAAGAACTATTATTCTAAAGAAATTAAAATTTTGCTATTAAAAAATAAAATTCCTTCCATTATTCCTTTATATATGAGAGAGTCTTCAACAAGTTCATGGAAAATTCATATTATGAAAAAACTGCATAGATTTCAATTTTCTTGCATCCAAATAAACTCATACTTTAATTCTATTTTTCCATGAGCTTTGGGTAGTCTCCTTGTATTTATCAGACAATCATAGCCATTAAATATGCAACACTCTACAGTCTCTAACAATACACACAAAACACAAAGGAGGAGGCTTTAAGAGAAGGCTGTTGCTTCCTATAGCTGTATCTATCAAACTTTCCAAGGAAATGAATTATTTCCATGACAGTTATTTATAAATTTAGACACTGCTCTTTTAATCTGGTTTAGGAAGTGCTAAACAGAATCTGCTAAGGACTTAAGCCTATTTATATCCAAACATAGCATAGTGAATTCTCAGTTTTATGTTGCCTTGGTATCTACTTTAAAGACTTTCTCATACCAGAAGCAGGTCTTAGTCACCTTTGGAACCATTCCCTATTATCTCCCACCTAGTTCCTCAGTGTGATCAATCCAGGTATTGGCCTTATGCGGCCACCTCCTAGTGACCATCTTCCTATGGAACCACTAGATACAACAGATTTGACATGTTTTATGGACTCCCATATTCTTCATAGACTATGCAAACATTGCCACAGCAACCACTTTTCAGTCCCAGTGTGGCTCTCTGAAACTCATGCCTGTTTGCATCAGGATTCCCAAGGGGAACCTGTTCAGGTAATGCTCTAGTAAAGGTTTTGACCCTCAGGACTCTCTCTCTATTGTTCCCCATCCAATGGTTGAGTGCATTTCTGGAAATCTTCCCCCTTCTATTGGCCCTGAGGTATGCTGCTGGCTTCTCTCTGGGATTGGCAAGTAATGAAAAACCGCTTCTCTTATTTCATATGTTTAGTTGTACTGTCTCCCCTGATTGAGATACTCAAACATTACTCTCCTGGTGAGGGCTCTCCTAGAGAATGACTATCTTGGTAAAATGAACTAGACAGAAGTCAGACAAGAGTTACAAGAACACCTGCCAGTATAAACAAGTTTTCTGTGAGAGAGACACCTGGACACGGGTCACTCAGGCAGTAAGCTGTCTGCCAGGATAAATAAGTATCATCTGAAAGGCATACTGCAAACTTCCATGACCACCTGTCACGAAGCTCTGTCACAGCAGGGTTAGAGTTTATAGCCACTTTCCAGAGAGACTTTCAAACCAAATCAGAGAAGACAGCACACAGCACATAGCATCCATTTCTGTAAGCAGCAGCTACATCAAATAATCATCATTACTGGTGATGATAAAAATACTTAAAATTTATAGTTGTGCTTTCAACCCATAGCCGTTGAAAATCACAAAGGCTGGACATTTTTAAGGTCCTCTGGGCCAGTGACTTTTACACCACTGCTTCTGCTTAAAGACCACTGTTGGAGCAAGAATTCATAGTGGCTCTCTTATTCAAGGGGGCAACATATAATACGGGAACTAACCAGATCACTTGCTTCAACACATTCACCATTTCAATACCTGATAGATTCTCTTTCAACAAAAGCAAGTAGGGATGAAGTAGGGTAGGGGAAATAATTTTAAACTGACCAATATAAATAACTATTTACTTATTGGCAGTTCTAATCAATGATTAATAAGAAAATGAATTAAAACTTGAAGCTTAGAAATTTATTATATACAGGATAATATTAAGACATTATGACTGGTCAATATAAATTATAAACTCATGTTATTCAGAGTAATGACAATATATAGTATCAAGGCTTTCTTATTTTTCATAAAGTAAATATTAGATTAATACTATTATAACACCAATTCAGAGCAAAGTGAAATCTCTCACTTTGAACTGTTTTATAAATTATGGAGGGTAATGTGTTTTAAAGATACAAAACAGGGACCAGCAGTCTGCGTAATGGCTATGTCACCGAACTTCCATGTAGTTGACCGCGGTTCGGGTCCCAGGCCCAGTGGCTTAAAGTCACGCTAGACGCGTGTGCTTGCATGCCCAAGAGCCCAAGAGGAGAATGGAGGAGAAGGGATTGCGACGTGACCATCCCCCCTGGGGAGTGATTTCTCACTTTCTATCTCTCTGTCTCTCTCTGTCTTTCTGGCAAACGCACGCGCGCTATAGCAAAAACCTCTTCAAAAAATAAAAAAATAAATAAAAACCAAAAAACACGATCACAGCTTTGTAAAATATACCCTTTTATAGTATCTTCATTTTTTGCATATTTTCTTACTTAAAATTAATATGTGTAAGTTGTATAGAATTTAGAAAAACAAGCAAATTTTTAAAAAAATTACACATTTTAAAAAATGTATTACAGATCTCATTTGTCCTTTTTTTCCCTGTCCCTGGCTAGGAGTTTACATCTATTTTTTATTTGTTAGTAATTGTGGCAAAAAAAATTTCAAACCAAAATAATTCGGAGATCAGACAAGAACAATGCAGAAGCGTTTCTTGATTACTCACCGAAGAGGAAAATTTCACTTTTACATCATCATACAGAGCTGGACAGTTGGATACATCAATTACTACTCTGTCTGATTCTATATCAAGAAATATCTGTGGATGAACACATAGGATTCAGAACTATAAACCTAGCTGGTTACAAGATAAATATAACAGTGAAGTTCACTTACATTTACCAGGGCTTCCTATATGTATCAAGTATTATTGGTCTTATGGCCCAATTACTATATGTATAAAAAAGTTAATCATCTTTTCTATAAAGTTACAATATTGTTTAAAAAATTTTTTGAGAGGTTTTCCCGATAGGGCGCGTGCGCTTGCCAGACAGACAGAGACATAGAGACAGAAAGCGAGAAATCACCTCCCAGAGGGGATGGTCACGCCACAGTCCCTTCTCCTCCATTCTGCTCTTGGGATCCTGGGCACGCACACGCGCCCGGCGTGAGTTTTAAGCCACCGGGTCCAGGTCACGAACCGCGGTCGACTACGTGGGAGTCCAGCAACATAGCCATTATGCTAACTGCTAGTTCCCAATATTGTTTAAAATTTTAAGAGGCTAGTATATTTGAGGGTTATGTTGGGGCACTATCGAAAAGAAAAGCGTTCAATTTTCTTTTAGAGTTTAACTGGATAAATATTACTGTTGAATGTGTGTCATCTGATTTTCATATGTTAGGGACTCTTGAGAATACATTAACAATTCAATTTCAAAGCCTGCATTGCTTTTCAAAAAGCAATGCATAACTGGTCAAGTTTTATTTAAAAATCTCATTCATTCAGGGTGTCATAGGCTTTGTCCATTGCAGACTGTGGCATGGAGTGATCAAAGACAGGTTAAGTTTCTGGAATGAATGATTTTGATATTGATTCTCTCTAATATAAAGATGGCATCCACAATTAGAGAGATCTATGCTAGGCTCCGTGACAAATACAAAAGAGGACACAGGCTCAGTCTCTTCAGCAAGCTATACACATAAAGAACAACAGTTTTACATGTAAAACTATACAATGAAGAATGAGTGTGCCGTTAAGTACTGACTGGTGGAAATGATTCACAGAAGGCATGTAAAGAGAAAGTTTCACCAATGGAGTAGAAATTGAATTGGGCATGAAAGAATTTGGATAAATGAAGAGCAGTAGTTCTGACAGGGTTGGGGTCAGAGGGGTAAGACCAGCAAAAATAAGAATTAAAAATTAGAGTTGCGTTATAAGAGCCAGAGATGACCCAGTCTAGTTGGAATGGAGTCTATTGGTCAGGTTACTGATGGAAATAACTTCACATAGGACTAGGTTATAGCTGAGAGCTCAAGAGCTAGAGAAATAAGTGGTTGCTGAAGGATATGGTGGGATTGCCTATGTGACAACATGGCCTCAAATGATCACATATGACATTTATTTAGTAATTTATAGTTCACAAAGCAACTATACACACACACACACACACACACACACACATTTATATATATATATTTAAAATGTAAATTAGTCATTGCAACACTTGAATGTTAAATTTATTTTACAGATAAGAATGTTGTACCAGGGACCAGCAGATGGCGTAATGTTTACATTGCTGGACTCCCATCTAGTTGATCGCCTTTGGAGTCCCAGACCCAGAGGCTTAAAACGCACACCAGGCGCATGTATGTGCATGCCCCAAATCCCAAGAAGGCAATGGAAGAGAAGGGATTGATGTGTGACCATCCCCCCAGGGGGTGATTTCTCACTTTCTGCCTCTCTATCTCTCTGTCTCTCAGGAGAGCAAACGCACCCCATAGCAAAAATCTCTCTCTAAATAAAACAACCAAGAATGTTGTGCCAAAGATGTTAACTGGCTTTGACCATAGGCACACAATATGTCTTCTGTCTACCTACAGCTTTCATAATGAGAGCAGTATTTCAGGATGCGTATTTCAGGGATTCTACACTCTGTATAGTATAAGGAGAAAGAAAAGGTAAGGAAACCACTGTAGAAACCTGGGCGTGACAAAATGAGGTCCTGGACTAGAGTGGTAGTGGGAACAGAAAGCAAGGGATTGTGAAGAGAAATTTTAAAGGCATAGTCCATGCCAAAGCTCCTGAATCTACCACACAGCTCATAAATATTTATTCAGTAAATGAAAGGACAAAGGCTAGTTTCAAAAGGGGAATCAACAGCAACCAAGAATAGAGTACTTGAGTAGATAAGAACAGAAAGTCAAGGATTAGGCAAAGGTGAATGCCAGAAAAAGGGAAGATGAGTGTGGGCCTGGGGAGGAGTAGTGTTGGTAGTAGGAGAACCTGAGACTGAAAGCCTGGGAGGGAATTCTCAAAAGTTTGCAGTTCTTATACTCCCAAGGATACTCTAACTGTTTCAGAAAAGATCTGTAGTCCTATGCATTTCTTCAGCATTTCAGCAAACTTGACTACTAGGTTCCAGTGCTTTCAGTAATGATTCCTCCCCAATCCACATACTCTGACAATGTGTCTCACAGCGCCACCCCACAGAATCTCTGATTAGAACTGTGAAGACCATGGACAAATCTGCAGGTTCATGAGCCCCATTTCAGATTTCCTAAGTCTGAATACTTTGGGGGTAAAATATAGGAATGTGCATCTTTACAAACTCTTACATGATTTTCATTAACACTGACATTTGAGAATTAGTGCTATATAACAAAAAATAAAGTTACTAAGAAGAAAATATTGATAAAAATGAACATATATTTACTATGTGTATGTATGTATATATGTGCATATCATTTAAACTTTTAGTAAATTCCTGATACATGCTTGGCATTTACAGGAAAGTAAAGGAAAAACAACACTCAGAACTAAAATATATTCTGGAAAATGCACCAATAATACTGTTTTGAACAATGAGATTAATTTAACTCTGTTTTGCATCCAAACCCAGCAAAACCAAGTTGGATGGTAACTAGAAAGCGACATGGCAAATCTTTATGGTGAGTGATAGTTTGAGGAGGTCGACAAGCTGATTTGACCCTGAGCTTTAAAACAAATTTTCCATTCATATGTTTTCTCTTACCCAACAGTTTTTGAAACGAGAACAGAAAAAGACAGTCTTTTGCTGCATTATTATTCGTATTTTTAGATCATGTCCATTGCCTTTTCCAACACCTGAATGAAATTAAAAAGTTAGGCTGGTTAGATCAAAGATCAAAATGTCTTGCTAATTAACATTATGGATTAGAAAGAAAATAATCCCACCTAACAATGTCTCAATGTTTAGTTCTTTGGTTTTGCATGGATTTTGTCTTTGAAAGACAAGGTTTCAAACCCAATTCTCCTAAAGTAAATTTTCCTAAAGTAGAATTTATAAGACTAGAGAGAAGAAAAAGAAAAGATTTATAGTTCATCTTCTAAAACTTAGAATCACATTGCTTCATCTTTCTAGAAAAAAATATGGAAAGTGACTTGCAAACATCCCTGCTAATGTGTTGCTTTATTCAGCCTTCTAATCATGTTTCTTTCTTTTTTTTTTTTTATAGAGAGATTTTTGCTATAGGGTGAATGTGCTTGCCAGAGAGACAGACAGAAAATGAGAAATCACCCCCAGGGGGATGGCCACACTGCAATCTCTTCCATTCTCCTCTTGAATGTTGGGCATGTATGCACATGCACCCACCATGAATTTTTAGCCACCAGGTCTGCGACTCGGATCATAGTCGACTATGACTATGTGGGAGTCCAACAACGTCATCTGCTGCTTCCATGTTTCTTAATAATCAATCTAGGGCCTGGCAGATGGCATAGTTGTTAAGGCACTGGATTCCCACATGGTTTACCTTGATTCGAGTCCAGGACCTGATGACATGCTTTCTCACTTTCCCTCTCTCTTTCTCTTTCTGTGTGTCTTTCTCTGATCAAATTAAAAATAATGATGAAAATAAATAATTCTTAAAAAAATCAATAGTTTAAATTCCTCTTGTTTTACTGTGAGTTCAGTTCCCAATGTAATTGCTATGAAAATATAGAACAACTATATACAAATACAGAATAACTATGAAAAATACAGAATAACTATGAAAATATAGAATAACTATATCCAAATATCCCTGTGGTATTCAGTATATATTTACAGGTAAATGATCATTTGCCTTTTTTTATTTTCCAATTTGAATAATCCTTTCCTTTACCATTTCATTTACTATTTCCTCAAAGACCTGGTTTCTCAAACCTCCAATTAATTTTCATTAAATAAAATTAGATGAAAATTAAATCCAGCATTTTAATAATGATTAATAATTTTATATTAATCCTTCATTCCTGATTGCTCATCTTGTATTATTTTCCTTTACTTTTGTTTTCACTAATACCATGTTACTAACACGTCATACAAATCAGTTTCTTGCCTCAGTTTCCTCTGACCTTTTCCAGTTGCAGAACTTCTTTCTATTGAGATCTACCAGAAATTAGTGAAATGTAGAACTAAAGTAAGACAAATAGTTGTTATATAACAAGAAAAAAACCAAAAAACCATTGATTTATAAGCTTAAATTCCACACATTTAAAAATTTTAAATAATTTAAATATGTTTACATGATTGAAAAATAAAAATGTAGAAAAGCACATGAAGCAAAAAGTCTCCATCTCACCAATTTTCCATCTGTTTAGTTCCTCAGTCTCAAATATATAATCACTAGTGTTAGTTTCTTATTTTTAATGTACATATAATCAAATATGTATATAGATTCTCTCAGAGGTTTATATATACACAAATATAAATATATTATTATCCCCTTGTGTTTTATATAAATAGTTACATATGATGGTACTATTTTATACCTTGCATTTTAAAAAAACACATGCCAATATTTGGATTTAACTCACAAATTAATGAACCAATAAAATGTTACAGCTGGTTCAAAGTACCACACATTTATTTATAGGCAGGTAGAAAATGATGAAGTAAATTTACAAATAGATGTAAAACAGGTCAATACATAATAGCACTAATGCAAATAACTGCATTTCTGTGGAGAAAAATGATTTGTGTGATTATCGGTTTTCCACAATGTAGTGTTGTAAAATAGCTCAAGGACAATGAGAGGGAAACATGACTGTAGTAGCGCACTACTAATTTCTGTCTTTTCCTTTCTTGACAATCTCCCCATTCCCTTTCTGTTGTGATCATAATAATCTCAAAAGCTGGTCTCACTAAGTTTGGCCTTATTATTTATGCATGGGTGCAAGAGAATTTGGACTTGCTACATTTGCCTCTTTATATCTGCTCTGTAAGCCTAGATCCACACAGTACTGAATGGCTAAGGTCTCTAAGTCTTCATTTCAAATATGACTTATAAAATCCTCTTTTTTAGAATAGAACGGTGGTTATCAGAGGCTAGAAACGTTACGAAATAGAGGGAATATGGACAGATATTAGTCAGTAGGGACAGTTTGTAGATAGGAACAGGTTGTACTGTTCTGTTGCACATAGGATGACTGTAGTTGAAAGTAATATATTGTGGGGAACCAGCAGTTAGCGTAATGGCTATGTCGCTGGATTCCCACGTAGTCGACCGTGGTTCGTGTCCCGGACCCGGTGGCTTAAAACTCATGCCAGGCGCGTGTGCGTGCATGCCCAAGATCCTAAGAGGAGAATGGAGGAGAAGGGATTGCGGCGTGACCATCCCCTCTAGGGGGTGATTTCTCGCTTTCTGTCTCTATGTCTCTCTCTGTCTGTCTGGTGAGAGCACGCGCCCTGTAGCAAAAACCTCTCAAAAAAAAAATAGAAATATATTTTGGGCCAGCAGGGGGCATGGTGGTTAAGGTGTTGGATCCCACATGGTTGACTCCACAGTTCGAGTCCCAGACTTGGTGGCTTGAAAATCATGTCAAGCACATGTGCATGCATGACTAAAATCCTGAGAGGAGAATGGAAGAGAAGGGACTGTGGCATGGCCATCTCCCCTTGGGAGGTTCTCACTTTCCCTCCCTTTCTGTCTGTCTCTGGTGAGTGCATGTGCCATATGGCAACAACAACAACAAAAAATCTAAATAAAAGTAATATATTGTACATTTTGGGTAGTTACAAGAAAGGATTTTGAATGTTCTTACCACAAACAAATGACAAATGAGGTGATAAATATGCTAATTACTATAATTTGGTTGTAACACATTGTATACATGAATGAAAACATCACATTGTACCCCATAAATGTGTATAATTATTGTGTCAACTTAAAAATAGAAATTAAAAAATAATAAAAACAAATAAAATCTTTTATTTTATAGAAGCCTGAGACTAGAAAATCAAGTCCACAGAACTCTCTAGTAGGTTTCACCTGCAGTACTTACAAATTTGGGTTAGTTCTCCTGTTCTCTAGATCTGCAGTTTACGGTTTTAACTAGTGTGTCCACTGGATTTAGATAAAATTCAAAATGTTTTCAAGGGAGAAGTCATGGTATCAGGAGATAATATCAGACCAAGACAACATAGGAAATTCTAGAACTTATTAGAGCCATTTTAAAGTTTCACACTTTGAAAAACTATTTCTATTCTATTCTTATTGCTCATATTGGAGAAATGTATTAAAACTTCATTAGACTATATATCTGTTTGCCTACATGGAGTAGTTTTATGCTCACTAAGGTTTGTGCAGATACTGTTATTCCTATCGATTACAAAGAAGATTAAGGGCATACACCCTAGTATAACACAGGCTGTCAAACAGATTTCATAGGTGGGTTTTAATTTCTTAGTGGAAGAAATTGCTCAGATAGTAGACTGTGTTGCCTCTACAACTCCAAAATAAAGGAGTTCAGCTGCCTAGCTCTTTTTGCCGGTTCCATCTCCCCGGAAAGGAGGGTGAGTAAGACAGTACTGCCCTCCACCTCCTACCAAGTACTGGACAAATCTAGCAGCTCAGCTGGGAGGACTGCCAACAGTTGGGGTCCTGTGAGGTCAGTCATATTACCCTGTCCCTCATGTGCACACATGTCCTATGAAATGGCCATAATGGACTCTGTAGAAGATGCTGCAGTGCACAAAGCCTTTCCAGAAGCAGGTAATTTATATATATGGGCAGTGTCCTGCTAAAATAGGGTGGGTTTCCAGGTCTGCCTGCATAGTGCTTGTTTGGAAGTACAGGGCAAAATTTCCCAGAAAAATAATGCCACTGAGGACCAGCAGATGGTGTAATGGTTACATCATTGGACTCCCACATAGTCGAGTCCTGGACCCAGTGACTTAAAACTCATGCCAGGAAGGGGCCAGCAGGTGGTGTGGTATTTAAGAGTGCTGGACTCTCACATGGCCAACTGCAGTTTGAGTCCTGGACCTGGTGGCTTGCTTTCTCACTTTTTTGCTCTTGTCAAATTTAAATAAATAAAGTTAAATAAAATAATTCTTTAAAAATAAAATAACTCATGCTGGGTGCATGTGTGTGTGTGTCCAAGATCCTGGAAGGAGAATGGATGAGAAGGGACTGTGGCATGGCCGTCCTCCCTGGGGGGTGATGTCTCTCTGTCTCTCCAGTGAGCACATGCGACCTATGGCAAAACTCTTTCAAAAACAAACAAACAAACAACAAATAAACAAAAATGCCACTGGGTTAAAGTTTGTTTTCAGAATCCAGAAAATTATGTAATCTGTTTGTGGTAATCCATTCATATTCCTCACCACTATCTCTTGATAGTGGTGATATATGTGGGGAAAATGAATGTATGTAAATAGCTCCAAATAAAAAGCATTTTGGGGACTAGCAGTTAGCGTAACGGCTATGTTGTTGGACTCCCATGTAGTTGACTATGGTTCGAGTCCCGGACCCAGTGGCTTAAACTTACACCAGGCGTGTGTGGATATGTGCCCAAGGTCCTAAGAGGAGAATGGAGGAGAAGGGATTGTGACATGGCCACCCCCCTGGGGGGCGATTTCTCGCTTTTTGTCTGTCTTTCTCTGTATTTCTGGTGAGCACATGCACCCTATAGCAAAAACCTCTACAAAAAAAGAAGAAAGTATTTTACATTTTAATGATTGTAATTTTTTTTTGGTTTATGCAGCTTTTAATTTATACTTTGAAGGTTTATTTCTGAATAACTGGACAAAATGTTAAAGAACATATGTTTAGATCTTATTTTGTATGACACTTTAGAAAGCTAAACAAACTAAGCTGTCTAGGTAGATATCAGCATCAGGTGCCATGGCATCCAGAACTTGTAGCACTCAGCCCTCCTCCCATTCATAGCCTGAAGGGTTCAAGAAGCATTGCCTCCTTTCTGCCCTCTTCCCTCTGCTGAGACATCCTGCTTCCCTGCCATCCCGGAGAGTGTGCTATGCAGGGGAAGTGAGGTGGGTAATGAAGACTTAGGAGCTGGATGTCAGTTCCTCTCCCCACTTTATTTTCAAGTCTTAAGGATGGACAGTCTGACCAATTTTCCTGCCTACCTTCATTTTTCTCACTACAGTCCAGAAGTAGGCAAATAGTTCTTTTGAAGTTTGTAAGTTTTTTGACTACTGGTACTAATTGGTAGCAGCCAGGGAGTCTAGAAATACCCTGATGGAGTCGTGCTTTTTCCCATCTCTTCCTAATTTCATATAGATTTAGATGGAAAGGACCTGAGCGCTGCCTCTCAGGAAGTTTTCTTGACTCTAAACACTGTGGTGGGCTTTTTTAGGTACATACTTAGTTCTCTGACCACCTGAAGACTTATGGGAAGGCTGGAAAATACTAGCACTGGGCCTAGCCCAATAAAGGTACTCACTCAGTAGTTTATATGGCAACAAATAAAGTAAAATTCACTTGCTGACCAGGTATTTAACACAACATAATGGAGTTGCTGGAGGTGAGAGGTTTATAGACAAAGGAGAGAGTAAGGAGGCGATCAGATGATTAAAAAAAAAAAAGGGGGAGGGCCTCTGAAAGGAATAGGTGAGAAAATGTATGGGAATGCCTAGGTCAAGATGAACCCTAAACTAGAGGTGCATGGTGGGCATGAGAAAAAAGCCATCTTGAGGGCTCAAGTCCCTTCTTTCCTCCATCAGAGGCTCTAGCCTGAGAAGTCCATCCAGACTGAGACCATAGGAGATGAGAACAGGAGAGAAAGAAAAGGGCGGGAGCCTCCCAAACTGGTGATGAAAAAGAGAAGGGGAAGGACATCTAAGAGTTGTCAATATGGCAAAGCATCACTGGGCTAATTGGTCATTGGCGGGGGAGGAGTGGCAGGCATTCATGCATAAAAAAACAGCTACAGAGTGCTTTCAGGAAACTAAGAGAAACGAAGTTTCTGCTGAGAATTCACCCTCCAGATTCCATTTTCTGGTGGAGAGGCAAAAGGGCAGGCCTTCAGAAGACTGACTCCACCATGGGAACTGAGAACTAGTGATTTTGTGTAGCATGCTTGTGCCCATGTTTTTCATTTTTTTTTCTTTTTAAAAAGAATACATAATTATTTTGTTGTCTTTTCTTTTTTTTCCTACCTCCCCCTTTTTCTTTCTTTCTTTTTTCTCTTTTTATTTTACCTCATCACTTTCCCTCTCAGCCTCCATGTACTGAGTATCTAGACAGGTCTAAGTGAAACGTAGCCAAATATCTGAATACTATTATGGTCAACATATTCCTCAATTCCCACTGAATCTGCTTCACAAGGGGAGAAAAGTAGAATGGCAAAGAGATTGCAGATCATTTCCTCCTGCATACCTCTTAATGCTCAGATTGAACTTCTAGAAATTATGAAGAAATGAAAAATCCATCAGGTGACTAGAAATCACCGCAAATGAGAAACAAAGAAAATACCTCTCCCCCAAGGGAAAAGAATAACTCCTCTTCATCCACAGATAGTACAATGGAATTTACAGAAATGTCTGATAAGGAATTTAGAATATACATAATAACAAAGATAACAGAGATGCAAGAGAAGAGATAAATGATCTCCAGAAGAGGCAGGAGAAAAGAGCCAACGGGTTTCAGGAGATGAGAAACTTTTTGCATGATCTAAAAGAGGAAATACACACCATAAAAAATAATCAAATGAAACTGTTAGAGATGAAGGTGATAATACAGGAACTCAAAACCTCCCTTGGAAGTATTAAAAGCAGACTAGATCAAACAGAAGATCTCATCTCAGATGTAGAAGACAGAATTTCAGGCCTAGAAAAATCCACCACAAAGACTAAGAAAATAACTGCCCCCCTCCCCAATGAGAATAATATACAAGAAATACTAGATACCATTAAACATCCAAACATCCAGAAGGTGAAGAGACTAATAAGATTATTGATAATCTATTTCATGAAATCCTGGAAGAAATTTTCCAAACCTAGAGAGGCATTCAAAGATCCAGACCCAGGAAATACAAAGGACCGTACATAGAATCAACCCAAGAAGATCTTCTCCAAGATGCATCATAGCCAGGTTGACTAAAACCACAAAGACAAGATACTAAGATTGTCAGGAGAGAAATGTCAAGTTACTGACAAAGGATATCCCATCAAACTAACAGCAGACCTCTCATCAGAAACAATGTGAGCAAGGAAAGAATGGGAATATATATTCAAAGTTTTGAGTGAAAAACAATTTAAACCAAGAATACTATACCTGGCAAGATTATCCTTCATATGAGAAGAGAAGAACATTTTCAGATAAACAAAACCTGAAAGAATTTATAGATGCCAGACCAGTTCTCCAAGAAGTTCTGTATCAGTAAAACTAAAGTTAGTCACATAGAAATAAGAGTTCAAAAACAGCCAAGAAAATGGCCAGCTTAATGGTAGAGAAAAGTACAGAGCTGAATATAATCTTTCAGAATTTAAATGGAAAGATCAGAGCACAACAGAAGTAGATTTAGTACATGAGACTAAATTGGTGTAATAGAATTTTATGACTTTTGACTAAAACACTACTGATCTTCTATGCTTTATTTTCCAGAGTTAAGGATTTTTGTCTTCTCTTGAGTTGTCAACAGGTCCATGTATGTACTATTTGAACAGAATCCCAACCAGTTTCCTGGCTTTAAGTCTTAAGCAAAGTTCTCTTAAGATTTTTCTTTTTTGATTTATTAAAGCTAAAACTGTCTTTCTTGAAATTAAAAATATATTTAAAAATACCCATTTAATGACCACACATAAGCTATATAGCCTCAGCTATGTGCTACTTTATAGTGTATTCATTCTACTCACAGTTTCATGCCTAAAGTCAAACATGTGTTCACAGTTACATATATATCAGCTAAACTTGCTATTGAAAGTAATTAGATTAACTAAGTTATTTTGTGAATCAGTAAAATGTGAGAAAAAAAAGAAATGGAAAGCAACTGCAGATACCAGAGATAGTGTGGGAGGAGTGTGGGAAACAGTAGAGGGTGAGAAATAGGGAGAAAAAATGGAAAATTATTAGTTGACAATAACATCTATGATTAAGCCTCAATACAGTGTATTCTGGATGGGCAATCACATTTTGTATGCTAAGATGATGTTCAGTGAATGAATGTAAAATAAATAAATTAATTAAAAAATAAATACAAAGAAAAAAATAAACTGAGGAATTTTTGTATACATAACCTTGAGCAAAACCCTCCCAAACAGTGGAAACATTTGCCCTCTTGTTCAATTCTTCAATTGAACATAAAGCACTTACCATGAATTGAGTAAATAATGAATCTTCTTATCTTGAGTGTTTTTTTTGGAGGAAGATCAAAGTGGTAGCTTTTTTTCACTTTTTCAAAATATGCAACATATCTATTCTGCAAAATAACAGAAGCCTTAGTTTAGTGGAGATGGAAAGTCTAAAGTCATTCTCTCTTTCTCTCTCTCTCCACTTACATAGAGCTTGTAAAGGGAATAAGGGCAGTAAGAAATTAAGGAAACATTTACTGTGTGACATTATATAACATACATTTTAATGCATGTTGCCTCATACATGAATATTTACCTCGAAAAAAAAAATCTGAACTAAGTACTATAGGGAAGTAACAATAAGAAAGGAACCAGACCTTGCTTATAAGCTGCTTATGATTGAAAGGGCAGCGATAAGAACCAACAACAAAGCAGCTATATTATTGACATGGAGATAAAAACTAGGTTTCGAGAAAAGAAAGTGTGTTGTTGCTGGAGAACAGCCTTCTAGTCATGGAACAATGGTACACTTGAAAACTCAAAAAAGATTTCCATACATCTCCATACATCTTTATCTTGAGTTTTCAAGTGTACCATTGTCCCATGTTGGGTAAATTCTATTTACAAGCTAAATGATGTATAGCAATTGGATGTATTTTTTTAAAATAAAAATAATAAAATAAAATAATTAATAATTAAAAAAACTCCATACATCACTAGTAGATGACATGCCATTCTTCTCTTACCCCTACTAACTAGAATTTCTTTATTTCTGTTTCTGAAATTCTGTTTTCACATGAAAGCCATGACATTCTCTTAGCTTTGTCCTCCTATAGCAAAGGCTGTCCTTGACTCTTCCTTCACGGAGTAGAAGAGCTCTGGTACTGTATCAGCTGAACTGAAATGGTCACAGACTCTACCCTACTAACTTGGAAGTACTAATAAAATTAACTGCTATACTTTCCATTACAAAAGACCAGTCATGAGGAAGGCTTAAGCAAGTTCTTAACTCAGAGGTGGATAAAATGTGGTTGGTAGAATGGCCCACAATGTGAGGTCAGAATGTGACGGTGTCTGTGAATTACCACCATAGAGGGAACTTGGTCCTGGGGTCTTGCCAATACAATTCTCTAACCTATAACTCGGTCCTCTTTCAGTGAATCAAAAGAGATTAAGCTGTAGCCTATGATGTGCCAGTTCTGCACTAAAGTTAGGGAAACTGCATGACTTCAGAAGAAGTGGGGAAGAGATGTTAAAGGAACTACAGGTAACATTCCCTTTGCTTCTGCTACCATATTCTCCATCTTCCACTCACTAGTGGCTATAACCCAAAAGGGCTCTCAAGCTGCTATTGCTGCCATGCCGCCTTCTCTTACAGCTTAAACCAAAAGGATTTGCAGCTGAAGTTAATACAAAAGACACATAGTAAGCACTTACTAAAAAGAAGATATGAAAAGTGATGAGGCACTGTGGTATACAAAGGGGAAAGATGAGTGTGATACAGGCCTTGCTTTTAAAAGGTATACAAAGTCATCACTTCAAATAGCTAGAGAATAATGTAAAGTGTCTTAGTCCCCAAAACAAACAAAAGGTTATAAAAATTTTTTTAAAAAGCAAAAGACTAGGGAACCAGCAGTTAGCGTAATGGCTATGTCGCTGGATTCCCACGTAGTCAACCCCGGTTCGCGTCCCGGACCCGGTGGCTTAGAACTCACGCCGGGCACATGTGCGTGCGTGCCCAAGATCCCGAGAGGAGAATGGAGGAGAAGGGATTGCGGCGTGACCATCCCCCCTGGGGGGTGATTTCTTGCTTTCTGTCTCTATGTCTCTCTCTGTGGTGAGCACACGCGCCCTATAGCAAAAAATCCTCTAAAAAAAAAAAAAGCAAAAGACTACTTCAGACAGGAAAGGGAAAGGAACTTCAAGAAAAGGGGCCTGCATGAGCAATGACATGACAGTATAAACTGACAGGCTGGAAAACAGCCAACAATCTAAATAGATTAGAGTGTAGGATATCTGAATGCACATAGTAGAAGAAAAGGTTGGAAAAATCAAATTGTGGAAAATGTTGAGTACCTACTTAAAACATTTGTTTGTTGACATTGGCAGTGGGGAGCCGTTATGGATTTTGAGCATGGAAATGGTATGGCTATAGCTCAACTTCAGTAAGTTCATGTATTACTTTTAACCTATGATCTATAACAATCTCCAACCCCATTTTTTTTTACTGGAGAAAAGTATCATTCAATAAGATTGAGTTCTTTTGCCCCAAACCAGTGGTCTAGGACCACTAATTACAGTGCTCTGCTAACAAAGCCAAGAGCACCTATTTATTGGGTTGTGAGAAGAGTCATGCACATTTTTGCATAGAAAAAAATATATTTAAAATACGTCATGACTTTTATGACAACCCAATAGTTCTCATCATTATACCCAAAGAAAATATCTCATGTTTGGCTGCATCCACATTTACTTAAGAATTCCCAAACAGCTCTCACTTGGTTTGAGGGGCAATGTAGAAAAGGCAATTTAGAGAAGAGATTGCGCAGTATGGGAAATAATGTGCCTCAAAGCCTAGCATGTCTGTACTTGAATTTTTGTCTCAAAAACATTTCTGACCCTCAGTTTCCCAACCTGTAAAATGAGAATCTTGACAGTGCCTCAAAGAATTATTAAGAATACTAAATCAGATAATGAATATAGAATTCTTACTTGGTTCAACTGAGTCTAGAATGTTTTAAACTACATTGAGTAAGTGTCTGAAATAAGCAAATTACAAGGAATAAAAAAGAGATGGGAAACCCCATAAATTAAAATAGACTTAAGAAATACAGTGACAAAATGAAGCATGTAGTCCTCATTTGGATCCTGATTAAAACAAACTAAACTAACTAACTAACTAACAAATATTTTAAGATAATTATGGAAATTTAAATATGAACTAAATGTTTAACATTATTAAGGTATCATTGAAGTATATTTTTATAAATTTTTTTTCTTTTATTCATGATAGAGCACATGCTCGAAAGAGGGAGGAAGAGAGGGAGAGATGAACACCCTCCAGACTCTGGTCACATTGTTATCCCCTTCTTCCAGTCCTCTAGCCCATAAAATCTTGGGCACTTGTGCATGTGCCCAGTGTGTTTCAGTATGACAAAGCTGGGATTTGAACCACGGTCATTATGTGGGATCCAGCTTCTCTTGGGAAGTACATTACTGCTGCACCATGGAGCTGGCTCAAGGTATAAATTTTCAGATATAATAAATGGTATTAAGATTATTTTTCAGTCCTTAGGTTAGATGTCATATTAAGATACTTGTGGGATAAGATGATCTGAAGACTAGAACTTATTTCAAAATAACCAAAGTTAGACCTGGGTTCCCTGCCCAGTTAGGGTGTGGGAACAGGGCCTGTTTTGACCCTTGATACCATATCTTCCTATTCCTGCAGTCACAGAGGAAGAAGGAGCAAAGAGAAAGAAGACCCAACTTTTGGTGGCTCTTCACCTAAGCACCCCCTGCCCAGTTAGGGTGAGGGACAAGGGCTTGTTTTGCTTTGTGTGTTAATTTTGGATACCACTCCTACATTCCCAGTACTCAGGGCAATCCCCTGCCACATAATGATACAATAAGTATAGGTATATAGGAGTCAAATATCTGTACAGTGCAAGGCTCTAGAAGAGCTCTCTTCCACATTCATATTGGCAAAAGGGGAGAGAAATCCCTCTTTGTAAATCTGAACCTCGAACTGCCACTATGGATATCGCACTGCCACAACAGAAAACAGAAACTAGCCCATAGCTAATTTGGATCAAAGAGAAGCACAAGTGCACACACCTACAGAAATATACTCCAAAGAAGAAAGAAGAAGTCTAAATATAGACTTACTGAATAAATAGATAACTAAATATTGCAGCAGAGCCTCATGAAATCTGAAAAACCCAGAAAATACTTATTCCCTAAGGGAACAGAAGAATTTGTCTCCAACAATGGAAAAAATCAAAAGAAATCACTGAAGTTTCAGAAAAAGAATTTAGAATATTTATCATAATTAAACTCAATGAGATGGAAGAGAAAACAGACAACCAACTTCAGGAGATTAGAAAAATCATTCCATGACTTGAAGGAAGAACTCCAAAAAGAGCAGACTGCATAAAAAAGAATTGAACAGAACTTCTTCAGATGAAGACTGTAATGTAAGAAATCAAGACCTAACTCAAAACTATTAATTACAGATTACACCATGCAGAAGATAGGATCTCTAATCTGGTAGACATAGTCTCTGACTTAGACAAAACCACCAAAAATAACCAAAACAAACAAAATGAGGACAACATTTGAGAAATACTAGATAACCATTAAACTCAAAAATACCCAAATAATAAATATTCCAGAAGGTGAAGAATCTGATAAGGGCATCAAAAATCTATTCCATGAAATATTTGCAGAAAACTTTCCAAACCTAGGGAAACATTCAGACATCCAGACCCAAGAAATACAAAGGACCACAAATCAAATCAACATAAGAGGATCTCTCTGTGGTGCATGGTAAACAGAGTGTCCAAATGAAAGAAAAACACAAGATTCTAAAAATGGTAAGAAAGAAACATCAAGTTACTTATAAAGGTTATCCTATTAAGCTAACTAACATCAGACCACTCGATTGAAACAATGCAAGCAAGGAAAGAATGGGAAGACATATTCAAAATGCTAAAAGAAACACAAGTACTCCCTTCAGTAGTTCTTGAAGAGCAAGAATGCTATACCTGGTGAGATTATTCTTCAAATGGGAAGAACAAATAAAATTTCCAGACAAACAAAAACTGAAAGAATTCAGCACTAGACCAGGTCTTCAAGAACTACTGAAGGGAGTACTATATCAGGAAAATTAAAGAGTTACAAGCAGAAATAAGAGAACAAAAAACAAATATTGATACCATTGCATGTTAATGGATTCAATTCGCTAATCAAGACACAGGGAACCAGCAGTTAGCGTAATGGCTATGTCGCTGGACTCCCATGTAGTTGACTGCGGTTCGCGTCCTGGACCCGGTGGCTTAAAACACGCCGGGCACGTGTTCGTGCGTGCCCAAGATCCCGAGAGGAGAATGGAGGAGAAGGGATTGTG